TATGTGATCACTACACCAGTGGCTTGTGTGGCAACCAGCCAAGTTTCTTGTAGAATTTTTTGAAGGCTAGGTTATTTCAAGTAGGGGTTGTCTCAGTCTTATCAGATGTTTTCTGTCTAGAAGAGTGTCTGCCTCAAGGCTGCATTCTTATTGTTACGCTTTTTAGTTTAGGAATAAATTCTATTCTAAAAGAACGTCTTCCATTTTAGGATGGCATTATGTTGATGACCTGGAGGTGCAGACTTGCGATACATGGAGAAGATAGCTCTGAACAGGATCTTGAAGTAGTTAAATAGTGACGGCTTTATACTTCCAAAAGAGAGAATTGTTTGCTTGCATTTTTGGAAAAAGTGGAATCTTCCTTCTGAGCCCAAACTTCACACCTTCAGGGGCCATTTATTCTGTTTGTCCCTAAAGTGAAGTTTTTAGGAGTGAAATGTTAAGACTGTAAGTTAAGACTGTAAGACTATGTTACTTTTCTTTCTCATGTCTTCTGTTTAAGGAAGAAGTTTAAAATCGTAAATATGCTAAAAGCTTTATCAAACACCTCCTGGAGCATAAAACATTGCTCTTTTCTTTGCATTTTCAGATCACTTCTATGCTTCAGATTAGCCTATAGCTCAGTTATGTATGGATCTGCATGGCCTTCTGTTTTAGTATATCTTGATCCTGTTTGTTATTAAGCTTTGAGTATTGGTTGTGGAGTCTTTTGGACATCTCCTGTATAGAGCATATTTGTTGATTATTATGAAGTCTCACTTCAGTGTAAGGCATAAGCGTTGAGTTTAAAGCCTCTTTATCAGTATTTCAGTATATGCCACAATCTGCTTATCCTCTTCATATCTGTAGGCTTTGTGTCTATTGCAGTCTTATTTTCATCACAGCATCTTCACCTATGTCTTTTCTTGGAAAGAACTGAAGCATTGATAGAAAAATATCGCTTCTCTGATATGAAAGTGCAAGCAAGGAAATATCCAGAAATCCTGCCTTAGGATAACCCAAAAATTGAGCTTTAAAATTGAACCCGAAATTGATAAGAGAATCACTAATGAAATAATGTACATGTAACTTTTTCTCGAGCATAGGCACAAATACAGCAATACTTCTCCCATATATACAGATGGTTCAAAATCAGCTGGTCATGTAGAATGTCTAGTGATTAGAAACCATATGGAGGGTAAAGAAGTACATTACACTTGCACTGAGTGTAATGTAGTTTAATGTGGTATTTATTTTGTTTTTACTTTCATGTCCAAGATGTGCTAGAAAAAGTTTGTAATTTATATAGACATAATCTTTATATAGACATATATCTTAGGTAATTGCTTAGTTCTTTGTTCTAAAGCTTTAGAAAGTTTTTTGTGTTGCGAGGAATCCTCTGTTTGTTGACATTCTAAAGTCAACTCCAACATTAAAAAGCTGTGAGTATGAAGTTTGTTACTGCTAGGTCCTTGGACATGTTCGTGTAAAAGGTAATGAGTTGGCTGATGCAATATCAAAGTCTGGAATTGCTCTGTCGAATCAGCTTGTTCGATACAGTAATTGGTCATCAAGCAGAGAATGTTAAGTAAATGGCAATTATTCTGGGACGATCAATTTCTGTATAAATTGAGAAGTGTCAAACATAACACAGAGCACTGGTGAGACCACTAGAAACCAGAGGGAGGAAGTTTTGTTACGCATCTTAGAATTGATCAGTCTTAAATCGCATACAATTACCTTTTCAAGGTCGAGATTTAAATTGTAGTAGTGTTGTATCTGTGCATCACTTTTTAATTCAATTTTGGCATTTTAACATATTTTGATTGAAGTATTTTAATGACTGTAACTTGCTTCTTGACCCATATAGTTGGGAAAGAGGTCAATATCAGTTTATTTCACTACATGATAGAAATGGGGCTTTACTATTTAATTTGATTTTGTCTTGATGTTGCATCTCAGTGTTTGAATGCTATATATCTTCATGCGTATCTCATATTTTATGATTTTACTCCTGTTTTACATCTGATATTCTTATCTGAATCTTAGGTAATTGTTTATCTTAGCAGTCATCATTTTATTATTTCTGTTGATTTTATAAGTGTGCTTTTGTTTTAAACTTGTTTTTATCTAATATTTGTGTGTGGATGTATGAGACTTGTGTTCGGCGCATATAACCTTTAAGGTTTTGTGCCAGAAATCCACTACTGCTACTATACAACTTGGAAGATTATTGTATGCCATTGGCTTTTGACACACATCTCAACATTTTCTCTGCTGATATTACCTTCATGGGGAAAATGTATAAAACTTCATGTAACTTTAGTGATTTACTGTTAAGAACATGGCATTAGATTCAGGTATTTCCACAATAATGAAATGTATTTGTGATGAGTAGTGCCTTGAAGCTCATGGAGAGTGCTAAGTGGGTGCTGCAGTGCTTTAAGTCATTGTCCTAGTGTGTCCCAGATGTGTCCAGTTGGATTTAATCTGGAAAATATGCAGGGCACTCCAACTGCCGGATTCATTTTGCAAGATAATCAGTCTCTAGGGAAGCATGATGGGGATGTGCTTTATTGTCTTGTAGAATGGAATTATTTCTGATTGCACTCCTGAAGAAATGGATATGAGCATCAAGATTCTTTATTTATTTCAGCATTCATAGTTTCACTGGTAAAAGTGTGTAGGTCTGTGCAGCAATTCAGAATGATGCTTGCATGTACCATGATTCCATTGATTTTCTACCAATACTTTTCATAGATGGTTTCATGCGTTTTGCTCTTTCAAGACTGTAACACTTCGGGAATCGCACTCAAGTGAAAATGAGACGCATCAATAAACGGAACATGGCTCTAGTTCACTGTATTCTAATCATGATCTCTGCTCCACTGGAACTGAGTGCATTTCACGGAGATATATGGGTTTTCTTTCATAGAGCCTTTTTTTATGTAGGTGTATCACTCAAGGTGTATCTGAATGGTAGAATTCCTGTAATTGCAGCAAACTCCCTTGCAGCATGGGCTGATATCAGTTGTCTCTTTCTTTGCAGAATCATTGGCAAATAACAATCCTGATAGTCTGTTGTGGCATGTTTTTGACCTTGACGTGGTTGTTTGCTTACATCGCCAGTGTCTTTAAACTGTTTCTAGATTCTTTACAAGCAGATTTGGTTACTTTTAGGTCTTTACATACCTGTGTCACTCACTCTCCTGCTTCCATTTTCTCAGTTGAATGCCAGTTTTCAAAATCTATCTGATGCCTTCTCAATAACATGTTCAATATTCTACACTCAAAAATTTTGTCCAACTACTCATCTAATCCTGGAAATTGAAATTTGAAGCAATTTTTGAACTCATTTTCATGTGGGTCAGAATTGATTCAAAGATTAGTGTAGTTCTGTATTGCAGAGGTGACCCACATTGGACTAAGTCATAAGGTTCATATTGAGGTGCTAATCGGTTACCTTTCATTAAATTTCACTTAAAAGAATTGACATAAAGCATCTTTTCTAGTTTTTCTTTTACTTTTCTTCAGCATATAATAAGCTTTAGCTTTGTCTGTATCAGCTAGTAAATAGGAATTGGGAAGAATTTGAAGTAACACTGAATTGAAAAATAGGAGTAGAATAGTAGTAGTGTTGAATAAAGGAAACTGAATATGAGTAGTGTTAAACTAAAAACGTATTTCTGTCTATCGTATGATGTAAATCATGGAAGTTGCATATCCAGGAATCTATACCAATACTTGTAGTAAACGGAGAACATTTTTAATTTATCAAGAAGGTAAATATTTATTATTTAACAGTTCATCAGTATGAGGCTTCTCTTTGGACAGTCTTTGCCTTATAATCAACTCTGCCACATTTAGAACATTAAAAAAAAAAAAAAAAAAAAAAAAAAAAAAAAAAAAAATCCACTAGTACTTTTATTATTAGAATTTTTAGAACTGTGACACTGCAATACTTGCATTTTTCTTTTTATTGTAATCTTAACTTCAGTGTATAAAATGAAAGAGCTCTAAATTCTTCACCTGTAGCAGTTTTAATTCATTGCTGAGTAGTGTGCAGATTTTGTAATAAAATATTAGTTTTATATTTATCGTCCAAACGATTCCTTGATATTGCTAAATGTATTGTAATCTTGACTAATCATCAGAAAAGTTAATGTGTATTAGTTCAAGTGGAATTGTTTCAGAATTTAATATTCATATTGTCAATTTTTTTAATTTAATTTATTTTTAACTTTTGTAACATATATAGTTACATTTTCATTATGATCATGGTTCATTTTAAAGAATTATTTGATCAGATTTAATCTTTAACTGTTACTTTTCTCATATAAAATTTATTCTCAATTTCACTATGATTTGTATGATTGGAATAAAATCACATTGGCTTGTGCTGCCCCATCATTGTTAGAATTCATGAAATTCATTTTCCAGCATTTGCTTGTAGAGATAATAGGCAGGTTGTTAATAGAAGTCAAGTTGTACTGTTGAAAATACATTATAGTTTGTCATTTCTATTTAGACCAGTTGCTAACACCTGCTAGTTTATTCATGTCAACGTGCACATTAGCAATAAATGCTGAAAGATAATTTTTCAAATTTAATTCAATTTTACCATGAAAACTTATATTAAAATGTGTAATGCTTTTATGCTGTTAAAATTATAGTATTTTTAATTAAAAGCATTCACATTTTAATCATAATACACATCTTTTATTGCATATAAGCTACCATGACAGGTAAAAATAGTAGTTTATATATGCCAAATCAGTTTTCAGAGATTATTGAAGTCACTAATTAAAGTCTAGCTTATTTCTTTTCAGCATTTCATATATTAATTTCTAAATCTGTTTTTCACAGTATAATGAAAACTGATATAATTCTTTTGTGTTTTCAATAATGTAGTAAGTGCTTCTTATAAAATGGTATTTAAAATATGAAGTTAATTTTTAGATGCACCTATTGCATTAAAATGAGCAAAGGATTCAATTGTATTTCATGTTTTAATTTTTCAGAGTTAGAGTGTGGGATCTGTCAATCCTCATTCCAAATGTTCTATTTTTGCTTTTCATGGTCATAAGATGTAATAGAGCGCGTCTGAAGTTACGAGCAACAAATAGTCCTATATTTTCCACATTCTACATTTTGGTAAACCACTTTCTTATCTGTATTTTTGAACTAGTTCTTAATAGTTTAATAATAGTTTAACTTGTTTTAGGATTTTATACTAGAAATTCTTTTTGATGTAATAAAAATCTTGCAAATGTTAAGACTGTTTAACCCATTCTTAACAAAATCATAAAGACAGCAGTAAATTTATTGTTGGTTTATGATTGGCATATAAATGATATTCTGTAACGAATTATCTACTTCTAATAAAAAACACATTATAATAATATAAAAAACGAAAACTTTATTAAATAAAATTGGTCATAAGAAACCTTACTGCATTCTACAAATCTATAACAAACTCTTTAGAAGCCAGATACATTTTTAACTCATTCTTATTATATTTAATATTCTTATTATATTTAACTTATTCATTAACATTATCAATGTTGCCAAAATATTAAAACTTAAAATTATATGTTATAAACAAATACTATCATTTATTATATATCAAAATAAATAAAATTTAAAATGCAGGATCATACTTTACATTTTCTGAAAACCTTTATTTTTGTCATTTGTTATTCAGTGTTCCTTTATGCTTTGATTGCAAGCTAAAAACATGTGATACTATGGTCTGGATATAGCTGGAATTCCAGATTTTTTACTTCCAAAATTTTCTTATCTGGAATTTCTGGATTACTTTGTGTCATTCTTCTTCAGTGTCATCGTAATGATACATAAAAATTGGCGAAATCCAACTTGTCAGTCAGAGTGAGTTCAATGAATATTTTGTGGTGTGTGATATGCAGATGTAGATTTTAAACTATTAAAAGAAAAAGTACTCATGTTTGTATTTGACAATGCATTTTTCAGGTCTTTATCAGAAAGCAAATATTATTTTGTGATCAGTGAACTCTGTAAATTTTTGTCCCTCTAGCGTGTATCTAAATTTCTCAGTGGATGCTTAGATTGCTAATAATTCTCTATCATATGCTCTGTAAATCGCCTCAGTTATGAACATTCTAGAAAAAAATGCTAGAGGTTCGAGTCTGTGGTTAATAGCTTGATCTGCCAATAGCGTACTTAGATGCATCAATTTCAATAAGAGTTGCATTTGGCAGAAGATGTGCTAATAATGTAGCATTTGCTAATTTTTGTTTAGCATTTTCAAAACCTTTACTTTTTTGAACTAATCAAGGTTCTTTTTTGCACCTGTTAAATACTTGCTGAGTAGTGCTTGGTCATGAGCTACACATGGAAGATATTTGTGGTAAAAGTTTATTAAACCTAAAAACTTCCGTAAGTCTGCAACGGTTTCTGGGTTTTTGAAGTTCACTTTTAGGTAAAGGTTTTCTTTCATTCTTGGTTGTCAAATGGCCTAAGAATTCTATTTCAGGAATGTCAGAAACATATTTTAAAGAATTTAAGTACATACTAATTTAATTTGTATAAATCTTTGGAAGTGTGTTATTTATACAACATTTCAATTTCTGAGAATACCTTAATATCATCTAAGTATGTTTGACAAAATTCTAATCCTTGTAACACTTTGTGCATGAAACTCTGGAACGTAAGAGCAGCATTTTTTAACCCAAAATTCAAGGAAACTAAAAAATATTGAAAAGGGTAATTATTGCTGTATTATATATGTGCTTTTTGTAGACTGGTATATAATTTAAAAAATTATTCATGCAATATATAATTAAAAAAAAAAAACCTGTTTAACCCTGAAAGGATTGAGCAAAATCATGTATATCTGGAATAGGATATAAATCAAAAACTGTATCTGAATTAAGTGCTGTGTAATATCCAACTGGTTTAATGCTGGTAGGCTTTTTATTTACTATATGTAAAAGTGATGACCAATTACCTTTAAAGGGTTTTTGACTCTCTAAATCTAACATGTATTTGAATTCTTTTTTTTGCTTTATCATAAACTTTCAGTTGAAGTATTCTTGCTTTGCAGTGCATAAGTGGCCCTTTTTGATGTAATGAATGGTGTTATGTTTGATTATTTCCTGTGTGTAGCATTAGTTAGTTGAAGAAATTGTCTAAGAATTTTGTTAAAATTAGAGCATTATGAAACAGTCTTAATATTTAGTTGAATGTTGTGCTCTAATTTGCATGTACTAGCAAGAGTTGTCAGTGTGCCAATGGTTCTTTTTGTTAGTTGACTAGTAATCCAAATCGTACTAGAAAATCGTCTCCTATTACAGGAACTGAAATATGAGCAGTATGAAATTCCATTTAAAATTTCGCCTGAGATTGAAAGTTACATTTATTTCCTCAATGCCATAAATTTTAATTTTAGTATTAGTTGCTGTAAATAACTCTAAACCAGTACCAGAAATTTGTTTTCCTCTTTTATCTGTATCAAATGTTTGTCTTATATATCTAATCTTTTGGAAGTGTTTGCTGCTCTTCCATTATCCATGACTTGTTTTGGAATCCTAGTCAAATTTAATTTTTTTGCCTGAAAAGTACTTAGAGGAAGGCATTTATAAGCTAGCGTGAAATTTTAAAATTATAAAATTAAATTAAAATACATAAAAACACCAGATCATAATATTTCAAAGAAAAGCCAAGAATAAGAACTGTAATAGTAAACCATTTTTCTTAATATAATTCATTATCAGTTTATACATATTTTAATAGTTAATATATCTTAATTAATTTAAATATTTTTAAACATTGAATGAAAAACTTTTACCTGTTAAATATGCTTTAAGAAATTACTTTTCTAAATATACTCAAATGATCTATAACTGAAATAAAGCTATTTAATGAGAAGAAGTTGTGTAAAAATTATTTTAGTTTTAATTAGACATGCCATATTTTTCCACCCCTTTACATTAATTGTGGTGAATCAACATTAAGGGTTCTCCGAACTCGTAGAGCATTCTGAATCCGAATAGTCGCTGACAGTAAAATTTTATGGTTCACACAATTCTTCTCTAATACCATCTTTTCTCCAATATTCAGTTTCTAAATTCTTTACATGATCACAATACTTTTACCAATTGTTCACCGAAACACTTTCAATAGCCTCATTTGTGAAAGGTAATAAATTCGACATGCTTATATCTGCAGCTGTGTTCTGACTTTGAACATACCGTATTTGATGGCATATAAGACACACTGGCATATCAGATGCACCCTTATTTAGATGGCCACACACAAGGAAAAAAAGTTTCAATAGCGTGGTTTCTTTTAGTTCTCACGCTTCGTAAAAGCCAAATAAACAATTATTGAATGCAATTACCTTCACGTATAAGACTGTGTCCTTCACGTATAAGACACAAATAACTTTTTTGAGGCCAAATTTAGGAAAAAAAGTGCATCTTATATGCCGTCAAATACGGTAATATTTTACTTCAGCCCATACATACTCTTTGGCGTTTATACCACAGTCATATGGTGGGAGTCGCAAAACTGTATGGCATTGTTCTTTGATTATACAATAAAATTTAAAAGTTTTGACTCAGGAAACATTTTGTTTTACTTAATCCAGTAACTCCACTTTTCATAAATTCGGACAAAAAGAAAATTTTTTTTTGTTTTTGTCAACCACTCCATTATATCTTCATTTTTTGGGAGGCATTGGGGGCTTTACTGAGCTGCACCGAATGATAAGATGCATTTTCAATAATTGTAACAGAATTTGGCGGTAGATTTGAAATTAACTTTTCGTTTGCCCATTTTTTAAATATTGAAAATTGATTGGTCTGTGAAATCTCCAGTTGTAGAGTTCGCTTTGTAAATTAAGCTTGTATTGGGAATAAAACCCATCTCGCCTCCAGCACATAAAATTATTATGCGTCGAGAGGCATTCCCTGTTTCTAAAATTCCACTGACTTCATTTGATTGCCAGCATTTTCCAAACGTTAAGTTGCTGTCCAGCCATGCTTCATCTACGTAAATTAGAGGACAGGATTCTTCTCTATAAAGTTTAATATTCCTCAAATACATTGTTCTTGACAACACAATGTCAGGTCTTTCCAGTAAAAAGCTTCTTTTATTACGGGACTTTTTCCAGATGAAACCAATTTCTTGGAAAAATTTTCGGTACTTTTCCGTTTTGCCGGCGCAAGCGATAAAGTCGCCAATAATGGTACAACCCATGCCAAACGAAATATTCTCGCTGGTAACCTTTTACGCCTCATTTTCAAAACAAGTCGCAGCTTTTTCTTATCAGATTGATTGTTTCTTTCAATACTGGCATATCATTACATAGAATTTTTATCAGATAGTTCAGTTTTATGTTTAAGGCAATTTTCGGTAATTAAGTTAATTAGGATGCAATCACAGCACTTACCCGAAGCCGAAAAATATAGAAAAGGTAAAGTCAAGGGTTAAATTCATCACTTCTAATGAGAATGCATTAGCGAAGTAAAGCACTGCAGTTTTACATAATTTCTGAGTAAGCTATTCGTACGAATTGAAATATTTCTTGCATTTAAACTTGTGTTCCAAATTAAGATTTAACTTGAAATTAATGTGGATAATTAATAAGAGCATTAGATTTTTGTAGAGTAGTTTACGTGAGATGAGATCGCTTGGGGTCACGTGACATGAACCGGCGAATCAGGATGTTGAACAATGAAAGCATAGTAAATTCTTAATGTCTTTTTACAAATTTGTTGTCTTTATTTATTGGCTTTTTATAAAATTTTAAGCGATATTAAAATGTTTATGCCTTCTTTTTTAAAAAGAATTCTTAGAACTAACATTTTTTAAATATTTTTTATGTGTATACTGTATGTTGTCGCCAATAAAGTCTGCTTGGCGAGATTTGCGCCGGCGAAACGGAAAAGTACCAAATTTTCTTAGTGTTTCCGTTTGCTAAGGAAAATTGATTGTGTCTTTTAATATGGGAAGCAGTTTGGCTATAGTTGGCACTTTCTTCTCCTTGACATAAAAATCTTGAACTGCTCATATTAAAATATCCAAATCAAAATTATGTAAGCCTTTACTTACAACAGTTTCTCTCTTTTTTTAGGGAATTCAACATTTTCTTTAGTTTCAGTTTCTTTACG